ACCATCGCTGGGGGCCAGTGTAAGGGGCCCAGAGTGGTTGCGACATCTGGATTTTTTCAAGACCCAATTCCAGATCTTTGAGTGAAACCTTCTCATTTTGAAATGTGGGCAGCAACTAATCCAAAACCACTCAGGCACTCTCTCGGCCAGGAAACAAGCCAGGCCTGAGGGGTGACACCAACAGGGGTTTAGTCTCTGCTTTCTGGGAAGCACTCTCCTTTACCACACTACCCAGCAACTGCTTCGATCGTGACTGGAATGCATCTCAGTGACTGTTCTGTTACAGTTTCCCTGTTCTGACCAGGCCCTCATGTGTCCATTCAGAGCTTCCTTGGGGCTGAGCAGTAGGTGGGAGAGAGGAAGACGTGACCTTTGAGGAGCTCTCGTGGATGGGGGGACATAGGCAGTGAGAGAGATGAGGTGAGGAGGGGTTGTCTGAGGTGCTATGGGAGCCCAGAGGGAATAAACTAGGTCTAACAAGTCTTTGCAGCGTTTCCTGGGGAGGTAATGACAGCTGAGCTTTGAAGGATGAGCCAGCTAGACTTTTCCTTCCTTCTGTTCTTCATGAACTTGGCCGAGGAGGTCACATGGGCGCAGGCTCGAGGAACTGATATTGCATCGTTAGCAGGCTAAGGAGCCAGGCTGCCTGGGTTTGAAGCCAATGCTTCCACTTACTAAGACCTTGAATAAGTGACCTTGCCTCTCTGCATTGAGGGTCCTCACCTATGAAATGGAGCGATGATCAGAACTGCTTCGTAGGGTGGTGATAAGCAGCAGACAAGTCTAAATCTACGAGGTGCTTAGCGTGATACTCAGCAGGTACTGAATACTTGTGTTGTTATTCCCGCTATGAACCTGCTGTGAACAGGAGGCTGGAGTGGAGGGTAGGAGACAGGTCATGCAGGGCCTTGAGGGTCAACCTGGGCGCTTATATGGGTCTTGATGGCACTGGAGAAGCAGGGAAGGGTTTGCGGTCATCTGCATGAATCTTAATGTAGGCCTTTCTTTCCCAGTCTTCTCAGGAAGTTGACAATCTTATCTCTGCATAGTCACCTTGAGCTTCTCTCCTTGAAAGCATCTTCTTCACGATTGGATTTCACCAGTTGTTATTTAAGGGCTGTGATTCAGTAACTATCCACCATGAGTCTTTAGACAATTCCCCTTCCTTCTGTGGGCCTCGATTTCCTCATCTGTGGATATTGGACAGACCAATTTCTAAGGACTCTCCCAAGCACCAAACCAGTAGAAATTTATGGTTGCTGTTTAGTGGGGTGTAACTTCACATGTTGGCCCCTCCGCCGAAGATGGGGAAGACAAGACGGTCAGAGCTAGGGAGAAGGCCTCCCTCATTGCTCTTGGGTCCCCCAGACACTGAAGAGGAAACTTGGTGAGACCTCTTCTCTTGGTGGCATCCTTTACATTACATCATCATTTTGTATTCTCAGTACCACATTTCCCATTGAATAGCATGGAGCAAGGAAGAGAGCTTGGATGAGAACTTTATGGACTCAATTTAATGGTTCCCAGTTACTTTTCCAGGTCATACTTCTTGCTTTCCTCCCAATTCTGAGACTGCTGAAGATGGTTCTTGCTTTTCAAAGCAAGTGATGCCTATATGGAATCAGGAGTCAAACCAATGCAATTAAGGTGCTGTTGGTAGTAGAATCCAGTTCAATGGGAGGCTGAGGAAGAGGGCAACAAGTCAAGCATCAGCTTGTTCTTGCTTCTTTGAGAAACTCCTTACTTGATTTTCTGGCTCAGAGCTCACATAGCAGTTGTAAATGAGAAGGTACTTCATGGGCCTTGCTTGTACAACACATGCCTAGTTGTAACTGGTACCTGAGAGAGGGGAAGGTGTCTGTGTTGGGTCACTTTTAAGCTGTTGTTGACAAAGAAATGATGATTGTCTTTGACTAGTCTTGTCCAGGCCTCTGCTGACCGAAGGTTCCAAGGCCTTGATGATTAAACATCAGACTTTGTTATCCATCCATCCAAACATCACTCTTCCATTGGTCCAAGCATCCATTCATCCAGACATTCATCCTTCCATTGGTTCATCCATATGTCCATCCATCCAAGCAGCTCTCCTTTCTCCCTCCGTCCATTAGATTCTGGACTTTTCTTAGCCACATGGGCAATCTTTGGAGTTGCACATCTTTATTTGTTGTTACGAGATACTTATTGAGCACCTGCAGTATGCTGGGAGGTGGTAATACATGGCTTGATTCCTGCCCACAGAGATGTCTCACTCCAAGACAGTGGGTAAATCAACCACCTTTCCATCCTCCCTTTTGACTTAGCACCACATGTTTTTCCTTAGTCATTTCAGGAATTGTGCCTACTAGAATTGTGAAGGCAGAACTTGTAGACTTAACATAGTGGTTACGAATCGGGCTGCGAACCTTAAGGTCAGCAGTTAGAAACTGCCAGCTGTTCTGTGGTTGAAAGATGAGGCTTTCTGCTCCCGTAAAGATTTCCAGCCTCAGAAACCCTGTACAGGGTTGCTATGAGTTGGAACTGACTCCACGGCACAGAACTACCACCACCACCATCACTCCTTGTTACGTTCATCCAGATTGTGTCAGCATTGGCGGCATTCATAAACTTTTTGTTAGATAGTATTTGGGGAAATAGGTTCTATACAAGTAAGTTCAAGTGATGCTTAAAAACCAGACTAATGTGGGTGAACCTTAATAGCCAAGACTTTATGGGTTCAAGTCTAACGTGTCACAGAAGATGAGAATGACAATGCTTTACAAGGGTGGTTGGACGGGAGTTCTTTGGCTAGATATTGGGATATGTGTTGCATACTTTAGCCTGTGATGAGCATATTGATGGCTCTGAGAAATCCTGCAGTAAAGTAACCCATTTGACTTTGACTCAGCAAGTTCCAAATGCATATTAGCTTGTGTGATTTCCGCCCCCTCTTCTCATAAAAACCATTTATTATCCCCCAGAACCAGTGTTCCACCAAACACCCTGGAAACACTTGTGGAAATGATTTCTTTCAGTCCATACTGCCCAGTGGCCCATGTAGGTGGTCAGCAAAGAGGAATCTATTATTTGCTAGTACAAAGTTTTGTTTGGCCCAACTTTTTGGCCCCAAACTGGGGAAATAACACACTGCTCCATGCAGGGAGAGTTTACTAGTGAGGGAAACCTTCTCATCAATTGTTGGAACGAATCATATAAGATCCAAGCTGCCTGTTGACTGAAAGGTGGAGGGGAAGGGTGGACTTCTGTGTTTCTACCTTCTTCAGTGACTCATGAGCCAGGACACAGTTTAAGCCATCTTTGGACACATATTTAAGCTGGCTGGGATTTCAACCAGTGGAGAAGGTGCAGCTGAGATGGCCAGTGTCTTATGGTGGGGGCCTTAGGAAGTACTGGTCTCCCCTGATAACATGCCCAAAGTAAGTCAGGTGAAGCCTTGCCATCTTAGTTCTTAAGGAACTTTCTGGATGCACTTCTTCTAAGACACATTGGTTCATTATTCTGGCAGCCCCTGAGTTATGTCCAGCATTTTTTTTTTTTTTGGTCAGTATTGTAGTTTAAGGGCATCAAGTCTTGGAGATTGCAGGACATTTTGAAATGACCTTTGGCTGAACCAAGTATATTATAAAATAAGTCTTGCAGCAATGCTATTTGCTTAAAGACACATATATAGACATTCAGATTTCATCGAGAATAGATAATACATTAATGGGTAATTGCTAATTACCTTTCACTGTTGGCTGGGTTTCTACCATGAACATGCATTCCCTTTGGAAAAATAAAATAATATAAAGTTAAAAATATGTATACAATTTTTCAATCTAAACCCACAATTTATGTAGTTGTGGTTAGGTGTCATTGAGTCCAGCGCATTAACCCATAGCGCCACACCAGGACTCCATGTAAATATCGCGTTATATAAGCATGAACATGTAGCCTATACAATTTATATATAAGATAGGAATGTATTTGTTGTTGTTGTTAAGTGTCGTCGAGTCAGTTCTGATCCATTGTGACCCTCTATAGGGTTTCTGAGGATTGGTTATATAAATGTATAAACATAGCCTAAATAATTTATCAAAGAGCACAGCCTTCGGTATGGATTAGATCTCAATGTCAAGTAAACAAAATTCCTCACCTCTGGACCAACAAACAACATTCTTATCAACGGAGAAAACATTGAAGTTGTCAAGGACTTCATTCTTCTTGGATCAACTATCAACACTCACGGAAGCAGCAGTCAAGAAATCAAACGACATATTGCATTAGGCAAATCTGCAGAAACCTTTTTAAAGTGTTGAAGAGCAAAGATGTCAGCTTGAGGACTAAGGTGGTGTGGCTGATGCAAGCCATGGTATTTTCAATAACCTCATATGCATGTGAAAGCTGGATAGCAAATAAGGAAGATCATAGAACAATTGATGCTTTTGAGTTATGGTGAATATTGAGAATATTGAAAGTGCCATGGGCTGCCAAAAGAACCAACAGATCTGTGTTGGAAGAAGTGTAGCCAGAGTGCTCCTTGGAGGCCAAGATGGCGAAACTTCATCTCTCATACTTCAGACATGTTGTCAAAAGGGACCAGTCGCTGGAGAAGGATATCGTGTTTGGTAATGTGGAGGGTAAGAGAAAAAGAGGAAGACCCCCAGCAAGATGGATTGGCAAAGTGGCAGCATCAATGGGCTTAAGTGTGGCAACAATAGTGAGGTTGGCCCAGGACCAGGCAGTGTTTCGTTCTGTTGTGCATAGGGTCACTATGAGTTGGTATTGACTTGATGGCACCTAACAACAACATATAATTTATATATACGTATATGAAAGCTATATAAAATATAGACTTTACATTGATAAGCATATAAAATGTATCATATAAAAATAGGCATACACACATCTTAAAGAAATGATAGACTATGTAAATCAAGAGAAATAGCAGTTGGTGCATTTTTGTTTTAAGTCTATGGTTTGTAATACTGCCTTCAGAGTCTGTCCTATTTTTATTTTTCCAGATGGGCAGCAAATTTGGGAGATGGAAGCCACAGTGGATAAAGACAAGAGCCAGCCTGTAAGCACACAGACAAGACGGTGTCTGGAGACTGAGCATCTAGGGGCGTTCTTCTCGTTTCTTTTCCCGCCTCCCTCATGTTCTCTTTCCTGCTTCCTTCTTTCATTCTTCCACCAAAGTCCCCGATACCATGTAGGCAACCAGTCGGCACACAATAAACATGTGTTGAATTGGTGAATGAATTAAACACCCACCGAGGACCAGGTCCCTGATTTGTGGCGGTACCTTGCAGTATTCTTTGATACAGAGTAACTGGTGCCGCTGAAAAGCTCAATTCCCCTTAGATAGAATTTCACCTATTGAGGGATGAAAGGTGGCAGGACTCATTTTAGGTGGGCTAGCTGAAGGTGCCATAGGAATTGGGCACTGTTGCAGTTGATTACAATTCCTTCCTTCTAGAACATGCTTTTTGTTGAGATCCCTGAGTACCGGAACAAACATACCCGCACATCTGTGAAGGTGAACTTCTATGTCATCAACGGGAAAAGGAAACGAAGTCAACCCCAGCACTTTACCTACCACCCAGGTAAGGTATGCTCTCTGAAGGCTCCTTTGGTGTTGAGAGGCATCACAGGATTCTGGAGGTCTTATCCCAGCTGGGCCGCTTTTGTCAAGTGACTCAACCTCTCTGAGCCTCAATTTTATCATTTTGTCAAATGGGATTTATCACAGTATCTTACCTATAGGACTTAGAAAATACGTTGCACATACAGGGCTTAGCACAACGCCTGGCAGATAGTAAGTTTTGTTGTTGTTAAGTGCTGTTAAGTCAGTTCCAACTCACAGCAATCCTATCTTGGGTTTGAACCGCTGACCATGTGGTCTAGTGCATTATCCTGTAGCACCATACCAGGTCTCCAAAACAAAGATGCTAAGTTGTTGCTCTTAAAAGTGCCATTGAGTCAGTACTGACCTTGTGTAAGGTTTCTGAGGAGCAGCTGGTAGGTTTGAACCAATGACCTGTCAGTTAGCAGTCCAGTGCTTACCCTCAGTGCCATACCAGGATGATAGTAAGCTGGTATCAGTGATCTTAACTGTTACTGTTAGTCTTTGCCTCCAGGGGGTGAATGGAAGACAAGAAAGTGCAGACACATTAAATAGAAGGTCGCTAAGCAATGACTCTTGTCCCTGTCTTAGGTGTGGTCATGATAGGGATTGTTGTTGGGGGCCATCCATCCAGGCAGCCTATTTCCAACTCCTAGCAACTCCATGTGATGGAGAAGCACACCCCCATAGGATTTTCACAGAAGCTGCTCACCAGGCCTCTCTCTTAAGGAGTCATTGGGTGAGTTAGAACTGCCAGTCTTTTGGTGAGCAGCGTACGGCTTAACTAGAGGTCCTTCGTGATAGGGGAAGAAGCTGGATATGCCTTCAGACTATCAGTAATTGACCTCACAGTGGGCAGTCACCCGGGGGCCAGATGGCGCTAATGGTGGACAGCCTGGTCAGGAGACCTGCCTCTGACAAAATAGACCATAATTCCAAGGAGGGTGACCAGGGCCATTTTCCATACATTTATTCATCCCAATGTATTTAAGTACCAGGCAATGGAGATGCAACAATGAACACAACTTCTAAGCCTTCCTGCCCATGAAGGGCAGACACTCTAGAGGGGCAGGTTCAGGTTATGGGTAACACTAACATGACTGGTGTGCTGGAGGATGATGCAGGCTGCCGAAAAAGGGGATGCGAACTGTGGTAGAGAAGTGAATGGGGGATTTCCATAACATTGTATTAAAAATCCTCTGAGCTCTTCCTTTGGGAAAATAGGCTGCCTACAAATGTCTTAGAGTCCTGGTGTGGCGGTGTGGGTTAATGCACCAGACTGTAAAGCCGTTTGAACTGCAAGGTCAGCAGTTCAAGCTTACCAGTTGCTCCTTGGAAACCCTAAAGAGGGTCGCTATGGGTCGGAATCGACTCGATGGCACTTGACAAAAACAGCAACAGCAAATGTCCTGGGACTGACCAGAATTGCCAGCCACCTTTTCAGGAACGTGAACGTGTAACTGGGGACTATCCCCAGCATGCGATTTCCATCCTAAGAGTTCCACCCGGAGCCTCTGACTGACTGCTCAAGGCTTTAAACCAAAGGGAAGAGCAGCCTTGGAACCCTTGGCTCCAGAAAGTGCTTTTGTAGGTTTGTGTTGGTCCCTGCTCCTCATGAACACATTGCTACTTCAGGACCAACGATCAGACCATTGAGGTTAACGGACTCTGAATCTGGGAGGGCCCTGGACCACGGGCTCAGCCATCATGTTTAATGTAGGATTTTCCAATTTGGTTTTATGGCATTTTCTGCTCTCATTGTGCGGAGGATGCTGCTGTGGGCCTTGGCGCCTGACCATGGCCAGGGCCAGAACACAGTCCTCCAGTTGGGTCAGGGTCAAAAGCACAGCCTTTGGCGGTAGCTTGAGAAACAATTTCTGTGAATGAGAGGTCAGACCTACGATTTTGCTTTGGCTACTGAGTCTTCTCCTACCTCCTCCTCTCCCAGTTCATTTACTCCAGTGACAAGAAAATGGATTCCTCAACACATGCTGGTAATTCTCTATGAGAGACTGTTGGAATAGTCTCTAATAATAGTACCAATTCTGGTGACTTGGTGCCAGGCAGGGAGAGAAGAAAGGTCATAATAGTAGCAGTAATAACAATTTTAATATAGTAACAGTACTGACTGTATACGATTCCCTGTGCACATATGAGGGGGCTGCCAAAAGTTCATGAGAAAATACTGGTATCTTTTAAATCCATTTGTCCATGAATGTTTGGAAGTCCGTTACAAGGTAATCGATGAGCAGATTCAGGCCCAAACCCTTGAGGGTCTCATCTCCCAGAGTCCTTCAGTACACGGAGTACGGCGGTCACCATTCACTCATTCATTCTTGCCCAAAGCTTATGCGTAACCGAGCCTCAGTCGTTCCCCGCCGCAGTCCTTGGCTGCTCTTTAGCAATGTGCCCATGTGCTTTGTCTCTTCTGGCAGTTCCAGCCATCAAGACGGAGCCCACCGATGAGTATGACCCAACTTTGATCTGCAGCCCCGCCCATGGTGGCCTGGGGAGCCAGCCGTACTACCCGCAGCATCCGATGGTGGCCGAGTCGCCTTCCTGTCTTGTGGCCACCATGGCTCCCTGCCAGCAGTTCCGCTCTGGGCTCTCGTCCGCAGATGCCTGCTACCAGCAGCAGAATCCAGCAGCTGTCCTCTACCAACGGAGCAAGAGCCTGAGCCCCAGCCTGCTGGGCTACCAACAGCCGGCCCTCATGGCCGCCCCTCTGTCCATTGCGGATGCCCACCGCTCTGTGCTGGTGCATGCTGGCTCCCAGGGCCAGAGCGCGGCCCTGCTGCACCCATCTCCGGCCAATCAGCAGGCTGCACCGGTGATCCACTACTCACCCACCAATCAGCAGCTGCGCTGTGGGGGTCACCAGGAGCTCCAGCATATCATGTGCTGTGAGAATTTCACACCCGGTGCCACTAGGCCCGGCCAGCCCCCGGTCAGCCAAGGTCAGAGGTTAAGTCCGGGCTCCTTCCCCACCGTCATTCAGCAGCAGAATGCCACTAGCCAAAGAGCCGCCAAAAACGGACCCCCAGTCAGTGACCAAAAGGAAGTGTTACCTGCAGGAGTGACAATTAAACAGGAGCAGAACCTGGACCAGACCTACCTGGATGACGGTAAGAGACTCCATTTTCTCAGTGCCTGTAAGGATATTCGGTGCCCGGAGTATGACCTTCCCCCCACCCTGTCCAGAAAGTTCACCTCATGGCCTAGGTATAGACCTCCAGTAAGGAGTAACCCCCCCAGAAAGTTCACCTCATGGCCTAGGTATAGTCCTTAGACTTTTGGGGTTTCAGCCCCCCTTTCTTTAAGGGGCAGGAATAAAATGATAACCTAGGCTGGGCAGTAATCAGTTCCCAGAAGGAGGCTGAGGGTGGGTAGTAAGAGTTTGAGCGGTTCCACCCCTGCTCAAAGAAGAACAAGCAAGTGAGGGCAATTCTGGCCCTAGGAGCGTCCCCGGGGTCACGAGCTGGGTCTATGTTAACTGCTGTTCGCTCTTTCCAGTGGCCAAATTTAGAACCAGGATCGGAAATCAGAAAGGAAGGAAAACCAACCCCTTTTATTCACAGAAAGGGGAAAAAAAAAAAAACCCCAGCAACCCACTTTTGAGTTCTCTTTTGTGTACTTTGGGGGGTGGGGGAGGAGACAGAAGAAGAAAGTTCATTGAGGAGGGAGTGTGAATGGGGGGCTTGCGGGCAGGCCATGCGCCAGGAAGGGAAACAGTGGGCTTCCGTTGTGGTGGGCTCAGCAGGAAGGATGCATAGAGGGCTTTGTGTGAGTCTGGAGGTACCCAAGGTGGTTGGCAGAGGCCTCAGCCATGGGGTATCTTGACCTGTGACCTCAGGGAGAAGTGTCAGCTGTGTTGGAAGGACTCACCAGGGGTCAGCTAGGTGCAGCTGGATGGATAGGCAGAGTTTCCTCCCCGGGGAAGGGGGCTCCAAATAAAATAGTAGGTTCTTGGACTTTTTTCACACAAGAACAAAAACCTATACTGCATCCTGGCTGTCATCTGCAGCTCCAGTTTTGTCTTTTAGAGTGGTACCATAGCATTGAATAGACTCGAATCCTCAATCATTTAGAGACATGAACTTGCAGCCAAGAACTAGGAAGGAAGGCCCAAAGCATCAAACAGCCAGTATCGTTGCTGTGAAGAGCAGGTGCTGAATCACCCACATCCCAGTCACAGGGCAACCTCTGCGTGCGTGCTCAGACTGCTAACCGCTACTTGGCTCACAGTCCTGACGAGCCCAGTCATTGGGGGCGGGGGGCTGTGTGTGTCTGTGCCTTCGAGTAGTTTCCATGCCTTTTGCAAAGCTGTCACCAAAAACTCCCCGCACGCTCACCTGGCATGGTGAACTGGTCCGTCTGATCCAGTTACCACACGTGCTTGCCTGCTCTGACCTCAGGGGACTGGGCTGTTAATAATTGATCCATCTAAACTGGAATGGCCAAACACAGCCTGAGTTAGAGCTAGCTAGGCTGTTTTCATGTACGGCCAAAATGGTTAAAATTACGTTTCAGCGCTTGTTTTTAAAGGGAGTGGTCAGGTAGATCCTTCCATGATAATACAAAATGCCCTGAGTTAGCAGATGAAAGGAATGGGACAGTAACCGGACTCGTCTCCTCATGAGTGTTTGGGGAATTATATCACGGGGGAGGTGCCTTATAAATAAATGAATGGCTGAGTTGGGCAGGTGCCGTCTCCCGCTGCCTTTACTGATTGTTGGTTTGGTTTTGAGAGCAGGATAGGTACAGTCTCTCCCACCCTGACTTTCAACCCACACTACAAACCATGCTGGAGGAGGAAGCCGGAGATGGCCCACCTCTTGCTCACTGGGATCAAGGAGGCCAATATCAGTCACCCAAGGTTGTTATGTGTAGCCTTCAGTTGCCTACCATTAGCCCCAGTCCCAGAGAGAGACACTTGATGTTCTCACAGAAGCTTATGTTATGAAGAAAGCAGCTGAGTGTGGAGACCTTTTTTGGGGTCTCCTCAGGCATCTTTGTGGCACTGTAGGATAACCACTTGACTGCTAACTACAAGGTTGCTTCACACCCACCGACTGCTCCTTGGAAAACCTTTACAGGGTTGCTGAGTCGGAGCTAACTCAACGACACTTAGCAACAGTAGGCAGCTTATCACAGGCAGGTTCAGAGTTTTAGTGTGGTCTCAGTAACATGAATCTCCTCTGAGGATGTCTTGGAGAATGGAGCATGGTGAAGTTGCTGCTCTCTTGAAGAAGCCTTTTATCAAATATGAGGGAGCTTCAAAAAGTTTGAGGAAAAATTCTGAACCTTTTGAAGCCCCCTTGTACGTTCCATGGGATTTTCAGAGGAGTTTTCTGAAGTGAGGGCTCCATGGCTCAAAAAGATGACACAACTTTGAGTTCAACCAAGTTTTTTAAAAAGGTATGTTTACTGGGGGCTTCTCAGAACTATTACTGTGTTGTTGTTAAGTGCTGTCAAGTCAGTCCCAACTCATAGTGACCCTGTATAGGGTTTCTGAGGAGCAGATGGCAAGTTTGAACCACCGACATTATGGTCTGGCAGTTGTACTTATCCTACAGCGCCACCATACCTGTGTTGTTTTAGCATCCAAGTTATAGCAACCCTGTATAGGGTTTCTGAGGAGCAGTTGGTGGATTTGAACTACCAGCCTCGCAGTTCAAACTGACCTTGTGGTCCAGTGTGTATCCTACAGCACCACACCAGGACTGTACTCTTGTGTTGGTGGACATTGTAAATCGAAACTATGCACAGACAAGGGAGGGCACTGCACCACCAGGGGGCACTGTGCTCGCCACGCCCTATATTCTGTGGGGATAGGGCCCCTGCAGTTTGTGGCCCCCGGAGCTCTAGTAGCATAGTGGTTACGAATCAGACTGCCAGCCGCAAGGTCAGCAGTTCGAAACTATCAGTAGTTCCACTGGAGAAAGATGAGGTGTTCTGCTCCTGTAAAGATTTACAGCCTTGGAAACCCTGTGCAGGGTCACTATAAGTCGGAAGCAACTCCACGGTACTTAACAACAATATTCCAGTGATCTTATAATTGAAGTCCAGAGTTCTGAGGCCCATTACTGCCCCATGCCATTCTCAGGCGCCTAAATTCTTTGCCTTTCACATTCCTGGTGCCACATCATGACACAGTAGTAGAATCCTAACTACTGTGTAGCCCCCAAAAGGCAGACGTGAGATTGCTGCTCAGATGTTTTTGCTCAGCTGGCATTCTCTCCAAGGCTCTGCCCAGCACAGACTCCCCAACAGGGAGGACCCATGTGGTCTGTTGTGTCCAATGGGAAGCTCAAACTGCACCCTCAGCTGTTTATCCGGGGAGATGATTTCTCCTACCAGCCTCTGGCCTATGCATGGCAGGGAACCTGGAATTGACCTGGTTTGTCATGCTGATGTCTGGTCAGGAGACAGCCTGGGTTCTGAAGATCTTCTCTGCCTCTTGTTATGTCTTAATTCAAAGAAGTTTCTCCCACACAGTGCATAATTTGGTGGCACAATGCCATGAGCTCCAGCTACTGGGCATTTGTATTTCGGCTCTCTAGTTCTGATTTGCTGTTTATTTGCCTTGAGGTTTTGGCAAAGTAGTCTTCCCTTGGAAAATTCACGAGAGCTCAGCTTCTGGGTTCTGAGAGTCAGGAGAAGGTTTTGTAGCTGGAAAAGGAAGTGCTTACCAGTAGACGGGGGCCCTTCACCCTCCTCCCTGTTGTTGTTAGGTGCCAGGGAGTTGATTTTTCAACTGGTAACAATTCCAGGTGACAAATTAGAACTGCCCCACAGGGTTTCCTAGGTTGTAATCTTTATGTGAGCAGATCGCCACATCTGGTCTCCCATGGAGTTGTCAAGTAGGTTTGAGCTGCCAACGTTTTGGTTCATAGTTTAGCGCTTAACTGTTGGCACCACCAGGGTTCCTTGTCTTCTCCTTCTCACCTACCCACCTGCAAGTACTTATCGGCTGCCCCCACCACCCTAGGGAAACACATGAACAAATCTGACAAGTGCTTGCTTTCCTGGGGTACTTTTTGGTTAGGGAGACCCCTGGTGGTACAGTGGGCTGAGCATTGCACTGCTAACTGATAGGTTGGTGGTTCAAACTCATCAGCCGCTCTCTGGGAGAAAGACGTGACGGTCAGTTTGTGGTGCAGTTCGAGTCTGTCCTCTAAGATCACTGTGAGTCAGCATGGACTTGATGGCAGCGGGCTTTGGTTTTTTGGTTAGGGAGCTAGACATTTCCATGGAAGGATAGGAGAAAAGCTATGAGGGAGGTTTCAGAAGGTCAGGGGTCAGAGGGGGCTGCTGTGATGTTGGCCCTTTGGACCAAGTAGACAGAAAGGTCTGACTGAAGAGGTGACTTAAGGGCAGGAGTCAGCCTCGGAGACAGGGGAGGGGAGGGAAGGGAAGGGTGTTAAGAGGAGACGGGAACAGCAATGGTGGAGGCTGTGGGTTTGGAATTTATCAATGAGCAGGCAGCTGTGGAGGGATTTCAGCAAGAGCTGAAAGTGATGTGATCACTCTGGCTGCCGTTTGGAGGAGGGGACTGTAAGGAGGTAAAAGTTGGAAGCAGAGAGACTACTATGGAATTACTGGTGGGAGGATGAGTTTTTCTTTCGTTTAGACAAAGCTAGGTATGAAAATGTGAATTGTCGTAGCAGGAGCACAGGGTGAGGCGATGCAGTTTATGAAAGAGTTGCTTCATGAATTCATTCAGTCAGGTGGTGTTGTTGTTAAGTGCCATCAAGTCGGTTCTGACCCATAGTGATTCTGTATAGGGTTATGAAGAGTGGCTGGTGGGTTTGAACCACCAGCCTTGCAGTTCAAACTGACCTAGTAGTTCAGCACATTATCCTGCAGCGCCATACCAGGATTCCATTCATTCAGTAAGCATATTTAAAATGCAACCGAAGTTTCCAAAGCTAGATTCACGCCAAAGTAGTCCTTAACCACTTCCACTACGTAAAATAGAGGGTGGCTGCAACTTTACACCGAGGTGCCTTTATGAAGAAGGTGGGACAGACAAACTGGACAGGCGCTGGGGACAGTAGACCTCAGATGCTATTCTCACTGGGTGCTGCTGGTGACGCCTTGCAGAGCCTTGGTGTCTTCTCAG